CTAGGTATAAAAGTCACGGCTCTCCACTGGTCAAATGAAATACAAATTCCTGTATGAGCCACTGTATGATAAGCCGTGCTGTATCCAATTTAACATTTTAATGATTTTATTAAAACTAATGTCCCGGCATTTTATAACATGTGCCACCGAATCAGAATCAGAATCAGGTTTACACATACAAGGAATTTTCTTTGGTGTATAATGGTGCGTACATACAAACAGTATGAGGAATTTAGTTGTGGAAAAGGAGCAAATAAAGAGCTAATTTGGAAAATATATTAAAAAAACATTATAAAGAAATGTTTCCAAGCCATACAAATATACAAAATATGAAAAAGGAGGTACAGAAAGACATGACAAATGAGAATTTAAAGTGTGAAAGCGGTCTCTCATCTAATTTTAAGTTAATTTTCCCAGCCTAATTCACACTTCCCGATGCAGTTTACCTTCTCCGCCTGGTTCCACACAGCGATGTCTCCCAGATATTTCTCTGGGCGCGTGGACAGGTGCAGCTGGAAGGAGAATCCGAACACGTTGTAGACGCAGCGGAGGAAATCCAGACAGCCCTTCATCTCCGACTCGATCTGTCGGGAGAAGAAGGATTCAGAAATATATAATTGACTCATTAATAGCTGGTCGTTTCTAAAATGTTTTTTTAATGTTAAAATAAAAAATATGTTTATTCAATGGCCAAATGACAGTTATCTGGTGGCACCTTGCATGTCAGCCTCTGAATGGATGTGTGTGAATGAGTGAATACTGACTTCTGTATGTAAAAACACTTAAAGCTATTTAAATGTGATTTCTTTTTTTTTTTTAACCCCTTGTAAACGCTGATAGAGTGGTCACCTGCTCCATGGTGCAGAAGATGTGAGCGTCGTCCTGCTGGAAGCGCCTCACTCGGGTTAAACCGGTCAGTGTTCCCGACAGCTCGTTCCTGTGGAGGACCCCGAAATCTGCAAACCTCAGAGGAAGTTCCCTCCAGGAGCGAGGCCTGTGGCTGAACATCAGACTGCAGGAAGAAGAAGAAGAAGAAGAAGATGGAACTGTATTGATCCACCGAGGGGGGAAGGACGACCAGAGAGCAGGAAGTCAAAACAACAGAGACTGCTTTAACCCTCGTTTATCGGGTCGAATCTGGACAATTTCCTACTTTCATCAATCATAAATATTGTGTTTTACATTTCATTACTCCAAGGCCTTATGATATCCTCCACAGTACGCATTTGAAGATGTAACACACCACTTCCATTGAATTGTGAGTGGTTTAGTCCACTTTGTAACACATGTGTTCCCGGTCATAGGAAAGGAATGGGAAACCGCAGATAATGTTAATCCATCAGATACACACACCCACAAATCAACACAATGTTAATTTTTGAATACTTTTGCAGTGCCTATTCACTGCAGTTATTCATGTAAACCAGTATCTGAGACATTGTTTACAGCTTCAAGGGTTGCAAAATAAAATGTGGTGACGATTCGTGGTTTTTGTGTAAAAATAAGAGCAGTTAAAGGTCCCCTATTATACTGTTTTTCATCAATATATTATAGGTCTCAGATATATACAGAACATGTCTCTGAAGTGTTTGGCTCCAAACACCAAACAGATCATTGCAGCATTACCCATAATCCCCTCTGTTTCAGCCCTGTTTCCAAAGTGCTGATTCTCTGTCTGTTACTTTAGATGAAAATAAGGAGCCCCTCCCCACGCCCCTCTGAGAGATATTAGGCGCTTTCACACCGGAGTACTTTTCCCCGTACTTTTCCCGTTTAGTTCCGTTAGTGCCTGGAATTTTGCGTTCACACCAAAAAGAGAACTTAGTTCAGAGAACTTTTACCCCCATTTGTAGTGCCTGCTAGAGAGGCACTATCCTGGAGAGAAAAAGTACAATTTCTGATAGGCTGGGCGGATTGCAAACCACGCCCCGTAAAACTCTGAAAAGTTTTTTGAAGCCACCATTGTATTTGCTGGCATTAGCATTATTAGCATTAGCCCCGCGCACCAACGGAGAGAGAATAACTTATGGCAAAACAAAAAAAAACATGGGAGCGGTGGAGATGAGGAGGTGCCAGCGTTCTGGCGATTACTCGGAAGCCAGTCCCAACTCTGGGACTTCCGGCGGGGACTTCGGGTGGCAGTATACGCTAGTGAAGTTGTTTGCGGCCTGCCAGTAAACCTAA